ACCTGTTCACAATTGGTATATGCTTGCAGCAAGAACATTGAGGTCACAGAGAGTTTTACACACCTTAGTAGTGTAGTTCATAACTCTGGGTTGTCAGACCAGTAAGTCAATAGACAGATTGGCCTGGCAACTGGGGTCAAGAGTTCCTCAACAAGAGCATTTGGGGATGTTGGTACCTTTGCAAAAGGACCAAGCTAAGTATTTTCAAGGCCCTGATAATGCCAGTTTTGCTATATGGTTGTGAAACTTGGACATGATCCAGTTCCTTGCAATCTTGTCTTGATGCCTTTTGTAATAGGTCCTTGCACCAGATTATTGGGTACAGTTGGTGGGACCACAGTTGCACCGTGAGACTGGCATAGGACCTGTTATTTGCACAATCCATGGTCACCAACTAAAGCTATATAGCCACCTGGCTCGTTTCCCACAGGAGGATACTGCCCACCAGGTTGTCTTTGTGCAAGACAACCCTTTATAAAGTAGGTCTGTCGTATGACCTAGGAAGTCGTGGTTTGGGCAGATCAATCAAACCTGCTGAGTCCCTGTCCGGCAGCATGAAGGAACCCCATCCAAATTAATCGGCTGCAGGACATAGGCCTCTCCCAATCTTTTCCAACTTTTCTGTCGCGTTTTTTGTTCCCAGTTTCGTTATTTTGTCACACCATCTTATCATTGGCCTCTTTCTGTTAACTATACCACAGTCTGTTACTTTCTTTATCCATCTGTCTTCCTGTCTCCAACATTTATGATCTGCCCATTGCGATTTCTTCTTTTTGATGCAATCAAGAATATCTATTTTTGTCTGTTCCCTGATTGACATCACCTTCATCCAATATCTTAGACTAATTCCCAGCATCAACCTTTCCATCCCTCTCTGGGCACTCAATAGTTTCCTCTCCAGTAATTTGGTTGTATTCTATGTTTCCGATCCATAGGTCATGGCTGGGAGGACCACTGGTTCAAGGCCTTTTTTTTTAAACAATGGCAAGGAACCTTTTAGTATGCTACTTTGTCTGCCGAAGGTGCTCCAGTCTAGACTGACACGTCACTTTATTTCCTCTTTGTTAGATGTGTTTGTGTATAAGAGTTGCCCTAGATATATATAATTGTCTACAACCTCTAGTGCTTCGCCGTGTAAATGTATCTGTTCAAATTGAATTCTACTGTTGAACATGACCTTAGCCTTTTTCTTGTTCTTCCTAAGTCCTACTTTCAGACTTTCTCTATTCAGATCATTTATTAATTACTGCATTTCATTTCCTGATTCACTGAAGAGTGAATATCGTTTGCAAATCTTAGATTGTTTAGGTATTTAGTCTCCTATATTGATACCCTTTCCGTTCCATTCTAGCTTCTTGAATATTTCCTCAAGGCAAGATGTAAACAGTTTTGGTGAGGTGGTGCTGCCCGGTCTAACACCTTTAATTGATATATTATGTGTCTGTGTGGAGTTTGATGGTTGATGTCACATCTTTGTATATATCTTCCAATATTTTACAATATACCTCCTCTAATCTGTCTTCAAATAGCTTCTAATGCTAGTATTTGTACAGAGTCAAATGCCATTTCATAATCGATGAATGCAAAACATGGGTTTCCTATATTCTTTTATTTTCTCTTTTATTTGGGTGAACATGTGGATGTGGTCTGTTGTTGAGAATCCACTGTGGAAGCCTACCTGTTCTCTAGGTTGGTTAGAATCCAGACTGTCAGAGATTCGAGTTGTGATGACTTTTGTGAACAGTTTGTAGCTGAATGTAGGCATGGGTCAGTAGTTGTTTTAGATCCATTCTTTCCCCCGTATTATATATCCAAATGATTGTTACATATTCCCAGGCTTTAGGAGTTTTTCTGTTGAGAAGGAACTTGTTAGAAAGATTAGCTAGTTTCCCTGTTGCAATTTCTCCTGCATCTATCACAAAGTCTGTACTAATTCCGCCTTCACCTGGTGTTTTCCCTCTCTTCATGCCTTTAAGCGCTCTTTTTGTGATGTTAGGCACGTCTCTAGTTATCACATTTGAGTTGTAAAAAATCCCTGTAAAAGTCTTCCACTATTATGGTTTCTTGTTATATGTCACTTCTCCATCTGGTTTCTTTATTGCAAACATTTGATTTCTCAATATTCCAAGTCAACTTTTGGCTATTTCACCGTTTCGTTTGTTGAATGTTAAATTTCCGTAAATCTTCCCTCTTTGTTTTCTTAAGTCTTTATTAGTTCAGCTAATTCGATGTTGTCCCTGTTTGATGATACTTTAATGACCCTACGTTTTTGCACAAGATGTTTAGTTTCTACCCAGAGCTTGCTGGACCTTTGCTTGCCGTTCTTACTGCCTACTTTATATGCAGTTTCCTTAATTATGTCACTGAACTGTTTGTTAATTTGGTCAATGGTGAAATCTTCGTCGCTGAGAAGTGAATATCTGTTTTGGATATTAAGACTAATTTCTGTCGTTCTGGTCTTCAAGTAAGTTCAATTTGGATGCAGTTTTTGTATGAGTTT